TATCTAGCTACACATCCCTGGCGATATACGCGCCCTAACCATTGATCCTGAGACTCAAGCTCATATCATGGCACCATACTTACATATATATAATCTAGTAACCATCCTATCCAGTATAAATTAATCCTTCATAAGTCATTCAACTTGTTCAGCTGATCTGACGTGAATATAAGTAGGACTTAACATTTTAGTTAATCCATTCCCTTATATAATAAATTAATCCTCCATAAGTCATTCAACTTGTTCAGCTGACCTGACTTAAATATAAGTAGGACTTAACATTTTAGTTAATCCATTCCCTTATATAAAATAGGTAGAACTTAACTGATAAGTTAATTCATCCCTAGAATGCCACCGTCCCATACCGGTGCATTAAACCACACAATCCAACAATTGATGTAACAATTAAGGAAAATACATCAAACATTCCATAAATAACTATGATAAATATGATATCAAGTTATCACATAATAGGAATGACTTATTATTTCTTTAAACTTTCTATATCATATGTCCTACACAAACTGAATCTTATACATGATGATAGTTTATTATACCGTTAAATAAGGATTCTCTATATCCAATTCATTCTACACATTTAATCTCAATTGCTAAAACATTTTAAAAGATTAAATTCATTCGTTTGTTTAAAACATTCAAATAGCAAGCATCATTATGATTGAGTCTATTTAAATTCATTAAAACCCAAACCTAATCCCTATTTAATGTTCAGGAATCCTAGGCATGTTTCTACGTTCCATCATTCCACAGATATGAAAAATACATAATTTAAACATGTAAAAATTCACATAAGAAATCAAATCAAAATCATGAATTTTATCAATTCATAACACAAGAACAGATATGAACCAATTTCATAAAACCTATGTTCTAACCCAATTAAACATGCATAATTATTTAATTTTATGTGTTTAATAAATCCTGGAATTTCCTAGGCATGTACAGAAACACGAATCAAAGGGAAAGAGATAGAAGAAGAACTTGCCTTAAACTTTCGGATCGAAAGTTAAACTTCTTCTTTCTTGATCTTCTCTCTACAGGGTTTTTCTCCTCATTCCTTCCTTTTCCTCCTTACCTCTCTAACACTATCTCTCCAGTATATATCACGTGAATATTTCTAACCCCCTTTTACAACCTATAGCTATATATTTATCGGCTAAATAAAATAACCCTAACCCTTTTCCCAATCCAAGTCAACTAAAAAAAAAAAAATGAAAATAAAAATATTAAAAAGGTAAGCAAAATATGTTACGTATATAATTTATGTATATGTTTATTAAATAAATAAATTATACACATTCCATTATTTATTAATGGATTATCCAATAATATTTAAGTTACCAGAATATTATAAAGTAACTTAAAACATAACACGTATCAAATCTATGTATATTTTATTATTTAAATAAATATATACATCAGATTAAATATTACTACCCAAATTACCATAAAAGTAATTAATAAATTACTTTCTCTTTTATATATATATTAAAAGGTAAGTAAAATATGTTACGTATATAATTTATGTATATGTTTATTAAATAAATAAATTATACACATTCCCTTATTTATTAATGGATTATCCAATAATACTTAAGTTACCATAATATTATAAAGTAACTTAAAACATAACACGTATCAAATCTATGTATATTTTTATTATTTAAATATAAAACATATATATCAGATTAAATATTACTACCCAAGTTACCATAAAAATAATTAATAAACTACTTTCCTTTTTATATATGTATATAATATATATCTATATATATACATACATTATCCATGGGTAATAATCCATACACATCCAACCTCCTATCCAAGTAGTCCATGGGACCCAATTGGTTGGCCCATTACTACTAACCATAAAATAAAATAAAACATTTAATCATTTAATTTACAATTAATTACAATTAATCAAATACATCATTTAAGCACACAATCTAATTAAACAAATAATACAAATAACACCTAGACAAAATACAAATAACACATAGATAAGTAGCCAATTAATCAAGTAACACTTAATTCAATTAAACACATAAACAATTAGTCAAATAATCAATTAAACAATTAAAAAAAATACAATAAAAATAAATAAATAAATACTGAGACTATCCTTTTAAAATTAGTAGTATTACAGTTGCCCCCCATTCCCAAGCTTGCACGTCTAGCTTTGGGAATGTAATAAATAATAATAATAATTTTTTTTTTTTTTTTTCCAACCCTTGTGAACAGTCCCCGCGAGTACTATTCGCGTGAATAGTAACTCATGATTTTTTTTTCAACTCCTGTGAACAGTACCCGCGGGTACTATTCATGTGAATAGTAACTAAGGGAATTTTTTTTTTTAAATACCCCTGTGAACAGTACCCGCGGGCACTATTCACGTGAATAGTAACTCAGGAATTTTTTTTTTTTTTTTTTTTTTTTTTTTTTTTTTTTGCACTCGAGGGAACTGTATTCTTCCTTTGATAAGGGAATAAATTGTATGAGTTTCACTCCTTTAATACGGGAATTGAACTTTACGAGTTTTACTCAGCTCACTTCTTTAATAAATGATTTTTATTTACTATCCCTTATTGTAAGGGGATATTAATTACGGGATTCATCCAACCCGGGTCCTTGTAGTACAGGATATTCATTTATTATCCTTTATATTACGGGATATGGATTACGGGATTCATTCAGCCCGGGTCCTGATAATACAAGATACTTATCCTTATAGTCCGGGGATATGGATGACGGGATTCATTCAGCCCGGGTCCTTATAATACAGGACACTCATTTACTATTCCCTTATAGTACGGGGATACGGATTACGGGATTCACTCAGCCCGGGTCGGACACTCATTTACTATCCCTTATAGTACGGGGATACGGATTACAGGATTCACTCATCCCGGGTCCTTATACTACGGGACACTCATTTATTATCCCTTATAGTACGGGGATATTGCACGTATAAACTAAAAAGAATTTTATTAAAGACCATCATTGCCTAAAGGCTTATTAAAAACAAAAAAACATGTGATGGAGCTACCCTCCATTTAAAATGATTAACTAAGATGCCTCCAGTCTTTATTGTGAATGACTTGATAAGGCTAATTCCAGCCGTGAGACAATTTCTAGTCGGTATACTCATCTGAGTCCTTCTCATGATATGTGCTGTCGCTCTGGCTGAAGAACGATTTCTTATATTTAGTATTATTTTCATCCCAGGGTGACGTATTCTCGAATCGACTCTTCCTTTTGTTGCTCCACGGTAAACAGGTAGGTAGCCGGCCTCCTATGCCTCTGACCTGCAATGAAGTGGCTCACAAACTGCTTACTCAATTCTTCAAATGTGTTGATGGTTCCTGGCTTCAACTTGTTGAACCAAACTTTCGCTGATCCCTTAAGTGTAGTGGGAAAAGCTTGGCACATGATTTCATCTGGCACAATATGTAAATGCATAAGAGCTTGAAAAGTTTCCAGGTGATCGAAGGGATCTTTGGTCCCATCGAAGCTTTCGAACGAGGGCATCCTGAACTTGCTAGGTAGTGGACATTTCATAACGGCGGGGCTGAAAAGCAGGTTAGTCCTTTGTACCTGGTCATCTACGGCGGCATGACCTTTCCCTTTCATAGCCTGCATTACATCTTCCATTTTTCCCTTAAGATCCTTGATCTGCAAGTCGATATGGGTAACTTTCTTTGTCTTTTTCTTAAGACAGAAGGCTATGCTTTCAGGAGGTCGGGAACTCCGTGGGAGAGATGGGTGAACCACCTCTCTACGTCGGGTTCCCACCTGGCTTTGTTCGACTTCAGTCTCATTTTTGGGGGAATGATTATCCTTCTCTTCAAGATTCCCATTACCTCCGTTTGGACTTGAGAGATCTTGTCCTGGAAAGTTTTGTTGAACTGGTGGAACAAGTGTTGCAAGAGTATTGCATTTTGCTGGATCAACTGGTTCATACCCTGACTCAGAGTTTGAACCTGCAGTTCCAACGCTGCAAGCCGTGCCTGGTCGTTTAGGACGTCCAGGTTTTCACCCGACTCTACCCTTTGACCAGATCCCTGCGACGGTGTTCCTTCGGTAACCATACCGGACTGCAAACTTATATACCCAACGAGTACTTAATTGATTCAAGGGAATCGTCGTTCCCACAAACGGCGCCAACTGTTGAGGCTGAAATTCGCGCAGTCCGATACGATACCGTTTTCCTGCAAGGAAGAGAGGAGAAGATCGATGAACCTTGACGGCACCGGTGTGGTGCCTGCCAAAAGCTCTCCGACGATCAAATTAGTCACGGAGGTTTAAAAAGATGGCAGGGATTAATAATAGTTTTTACGTCGTACCTTCTTTAATAGCTTGGTGCCCTATTTATGGCTATCGATTGGAATCAAAATTGTTCCGCCGATGTCGATGGTTGATCTTATCTCCTGCTTGTGTGAAATCATAGGAGATTTGTTGCCAGATTTGTCGGGATATAATTTAATCCTTTTGACCTCCTCCAGTTATAATAGGATTATTCTTACCTGTTGAATTACGTCAGATTTCATTATATTTGATAATGAAATCTAATCAATCTTATCGAGAGTAGGATATGTTTATATTTTTCCCTATCAGTTTGAATGGAGGGAATTGAAGGGATCGTGAATGAAAGGAAATGACATGTTGGAAAAAAGTTAATTGCTTTTGGATGAGTTCAAATAATAATAAATAAAAAAAAGAAAGAATAGGCTCCTTATTCATCCTGTTCTAATATTTTTATAATTCTAAAACTCCTCTCAATAATTTTTTTTTTAAAATTATTAATCTACTCATATCTTATTTATTTAAAATAGTACATAATAATTTAATTAGTATTTGTTTTTTCAATTACAATAAAAATTATTGCTACGTAGTATCTTTTATTTTCTCTTCTCTGTAACTAAACTAAGCCTTAAAAAAACCTCTACCCCTCCTCTCTCTCTCTCTCTCTCTCTCCCCAAAACCCTAGATGTAAGAATGGCATCAAGAGATCTCATCACAAGCTACTCGAAGCTCCTCTCTCGAATGGCTGTTCGTTCCCTTCGCACCTTCGCTTATTCCGACTCCAATTCCGAATCATATATTCCAACTAACAATTCGGACTCTGACTCGTGCTCCAAACAACTTCCTCACGCTGAAGGTAAGAAAAACAGAGCATTCAATCGATTCCTAAAAGAAGGACCAGCATATCCCTGCAAAGATGATGATCAACACTTGATCAATGTAATTATTTGACTTGAATAAGATTGCCCTTTGCTGCGTTCTTCGCATAGCATATATAACAATTTTTTGTATTTTTTTTTTCTTCATAGTGTTGTGGAAGACTTTTGGTTTACCTTTAAATTTGGTTTGGGCTTGAATTTGGATATTCTGTAGGAGTTCAAATTCAAATGGAAATTACATCTTCATCTGTCATATCATATTTGGCTGACTAATTCTTGCATTGTTAGCCGCAAATGATGATGAGGAACACTTGCGACAGCCGGCAATGGTTTATAAGCTTAGAGCCTGATGCAGTTAGAGATGTTGTGAGTAATAACTTTTTTACTAATGAAGCTGGTGATGCAATCAACGGTGAGGGCCCAGGTAGGTGTGTTTATGATGCATGTTCCCTCATTTTTCATAACTTATCCATTCGAATGATATAATTTTGTTACAAGTTATGTGATCCAAAAGCTCTATTTATAGCTTATGAGCTTAGAGCCTGATGCAGTTGTATATTTTCATTGTTTTAACCTCTACTTCTCTGTTCATTTGTATTATCCTCGTAATATGGTGTACAATTTTTTTTTTTTTTTTTAATATTTGTCATTTGAAAAAAAAAAAAAAAAAAATCCATTTTGAATTTGGGTAGGAGCATCCTATAGATTGATACCCCATATTTAAAGAGATAAAAGGAAAAAGAAAAATATGGAGGGGGGAATTTGTAAATCTTATATCTAGGTATCCTAGTGGGATTCAAATGAATACGTAAAACATGGATATTATTTGTACGGAGATTCGGAGATTTGGTATGTTCAATCTATAGTTGTTACATAACAGTACTTATTCATTTTTCACAAAATTCATTTCTACTTCGATTCTTAATTAGTTATGACCAAACCTGGACTGAGAACAGAACTCAAGTCATGGTCATGATAAGAGCATGAATTTGAGGTTGCAGTTTACAATTATGAAAAAATTGAACCAGAAAGCAATGCAAATATTAGTTGAAGTTACATTTCTTATCCATTATTGAAGTGCTAATGCTGCTGCTTCTTATTCTTCTTCAATTTTTTTTTTGGTGATAACTAACATATCATAGAATAGCGCTTGAACGCATCCCAAATACAAATCTCACAGCCAAAACAATATGCTATTTCCTCAAACTATCCTTAAAAATCATCGTATCCTCTGCAAATTTATAATTTCAACCATTTACAGTAACAACTAACAAAATAAGAATAGAGAATTTGAGTGCCCAAATAGGAGTCTCCTCCCCATCAAAAGATCCCCTATTACTCTCTCTCCCAAATACCCGACCACGAGCAAAGAGGAGCAACCATCCAAGCATCTCGAGTTTGCTTCCTCATTATACATCCTCTCCAAGCTGTAAGCATGCTTTAGGTAGAATTAGGCATGACCAAAGAAACACCAAAGCAGACAAGAATAAAGCCCCATTCCAGTCACCGGGCAATGCAAGAGTAGATGGTTTATCGACTCTCATCCATCTTACGCATACAACGACGATCAGATACGCAGCCTACGCCTTCTCCGGAGGTTATCTATTGTCAGAATCCTCCATAAAGTTCTTCACCCAAAGAAAGCTACCTTTAAAGGGGTTTTGGTGTGCCAAATTGCCTTCCAAGGAAAAAGGCAATCCCTCCACGTTCAATAATCACTTATAAAGGGCGAACCTCAAAAGTCAAATCTCCAATGAGAAGCCACTCCCATGCCCACTCATCCTCCTCCCCACTACCTATCTACTGATTGTACAACATCCCCTGGAGCTCAACAGAGTCCTCCACCTTCCAATCTTGGGATGGTCTTATGAATTGTGTTATACAAAATCGGTCTCCTGTTATGAAGGCGATAGCAATCGGCTATTGCAGGAAGTTTATGTGCTGCAATCCGAAACAGTCTCAGAAAAACCACCGGAATGTGAGTGCATGCATAAGATGCCCAGTGAGTGTTAAAGAAGAAATAAAAGAGGACATTAAGGAGAAAAAGAGCAAATGAATTTGTTCCGAATGATGATATTAATATCATTCATGGAGAGGATAAGGAAAGGTCAAATTGCCATCATTTATTGCTATAATTCCAGAACATCAGTTCCATGCTTGTTGTTGCTAGTTTTAAAAAATGAAGAAAAAAGTCCGTAATGAAAGCATATTGCCCAGAGTTTGAAATGGTTTTGAAGATCTAATTCAGTTTGAATTTTTGCATTGTGTTTAGCTATACACCCTGCCTAATTGTACAGCGTGGCTATGCCACACAGGCGACACCCGAGCGGTAAGGACTTTACATGATGACTACCACGTGGCATGAGGCAAGTGGAGTGCTAGTGTATTCCAGCTTAGTGTAGAGAAATATACAGTATTGTAGAGAGAGTCGGAAGATTTTAGAATATTGGAGAACATGTAAATATGTAGAGAAGTAGAGAAGAGAAGGTTCTAGATGAGTAGGGAATTTTGTTGAGTTTGTAAATACGTAAAATATGTATGAAGTTAAGAGAGTGGTGAGGAGGCCTATAAATAGATGACTAGTGTCATATGTAACCAACAAGTCCTAGAGTGTGAGTTGAGAGCCAAGTGTCATTTGTAACCAAGTTCTAGAGTGTGAGTTGAGAGCTAAATAGAGAACTTGAGCTAGCCTTGTACAAAGCATTCTTTGTAGTAATAGAAGTGTTCATTCCTTGTACAAAGCATTCCTATACAATATGATTAACTGGTTTATAATTACATGTTTAAGCAGCAAATTTATGTTTTGGAGAGTTGTCCGATTAATTTACCAAGAGACGGTATATTTGCATGTATTTGGCGTCCGCCACCTGTTGGTTGGCACAAGTTAAATGTCTCTGGGTTTTTTTAAGGAAAATCTTGGTGGGACTAAAGAAGCTTCTTGTGGAGAAGTATTCCGAGATTGTAAGGGAATGATTTTGGAAATTTCCATAAGCCACTTCCTGATGCAACGTCTAGAGATGAAGTATTCTTACTTGGAGTGCATCATGGGATTGATGAAATTCTCCGAAGTAAATCAGAAGTAAAGGAAATGATATTTGAGATTGACCATAAAACAATTGTCAAGGTGCTAAATGATGAGAAGCGTATACCAGTGGAGTATTTAGAACTTTTTAATTACGCTTTTTGTATAAAGTTTGGGTTTATTCTTTAAATTTAGATTTCTTTTTTCAATTATATTGATATAAAACCTATTGTTTTGCACAAAAATTATTGATATGTTGAAAAATTTTGTTGTTTATCACATAAAGTTTCTACATCCTCAAGGAAATGCTATAGCTAATAGAGTTGCGTATATAGCTTCACGTTTGACCTTGGGAGTTGGGACAAAGTTTTCCGAAAGGCAAAAGAGGTTTTGAGACACAAGTCATGTGTGATCAATTGAAGATTCCACGACATGAGACATGAGATCTATCCGAAAAAAGGAATTGAAGCTGAAGAATCATCGGATAACGAATCATCCAATGGCGAATCGTCTGATGAGGAATTGTCTTCAGACAAATCTGAAATCAGGCACTTTTACTTTACTTTTTAAAATGTATTTTAAATTCCTGAAAAGAAAAAGTTATTAGGCGTGATCTTTTGTTGTTCACCTGGCATTGAAAACAAAAATAAATAATAGGGGGAAATTTAAATGGGCTCTATTTCATTAGTATCAAAGTAATCCTAGTAAGTTTGTGTCTTCTATATATTATAAACTCTACATAATGACAATTACACTTTTTTCTGCTATTTTTTCTAGGTTTTAGGGGCAACATGGTATTTGCTGTCAGTTGACGTGCTGGAAATCATACTGCAAGAGGGATTGCAACAAAGATTCTGGCCCTACAAAATGCCGCCTTAATTATTTGGAATGTGATGCTCTTGACCATGAGGATTGCAAGAATTGGGCAAATTGTAGAAATTTTATTAAGGGTTGGATCCTGAGAATGTTATCAAGTACGTAATATTTAAAAAAGCAGTGACAAAAAGTGTGTGGCCTCCCCAAAGTTTCTTGAAAAGTAAATTTTTTATTGTTTGTGATTGGGTTTCCAAAAATTTAGGAATGTTTTATCCAATGGGTATCACCGTCAGTAATCTAAAACAACTCGGGAATCCATACTGTGTGGACCCCTAGAAAATTCAAACTAAACAAATGACAGTAATCTAAAACAGGAAACTGAATCATAAAGGAACTCCTATGTAGCATCAGAAGAATGAAGTAGACTAATCCCCGCTCAGCACGAACACCCTCTACTCGTGACGAACACCTGAAAAATAATGGTGGGTCAGGCCCACAAACAAGTTCTACTCTACAACAGTCCAAGCAGAGATCCGATACACGTATACATCCTAGTCAATCCAACAGTAACTAGTAGTCCGTATATATATATATACACACACTAAAGGAACCTCACTAGACTATAGGGTTGTCTCAACCTGAATAGTAGGCAACATGCAAAATGCACATATAGTGGGCACGAGCAATAAGGGAGGAATCATCTCAAGTGGATGCCATCGCTCATAAATTCTATCAATTGATGGCACCACATCTTCCTCCTTCATTGTCTCAAAATTCGGCAAGTTCAGTTTGTGCTTCATGTACTAGTCCATTCCATCTCTCGGAAGATTGCCCCACATCGGAGCAATTTCCTAGTCCCAACCAAGAGCAAGCTAATGCCATGTTCTCGCGGCCCGGGAACAATCCATATTCCAACACCTACAATCCGGGTTGGCGTGATCATCCGAATTTCTCATGGCGGCAACAAGCCCCACAGAATTCCCAATTCCAAAACCAAGGGCGGCAAAATCAGCCCTCTTCTCAATATCAAAACCTTTCCAAGCCTCTTCAAGCTACCGTCCTCCTTACAATCCAAATGTCTCCAATCAACCTCCTGTGTGTCCAACTGACGAGATAGTAGCTGCAAACAAGCAAATGATGGAATCATTAAATAAGCAAATAATGGATGCCAACAAGCAACTCTTGACATCCTTGCAGCCTACTCTCCAAATGGTTCACTCTCATACTCAATCCATAGCTAATCTCGAAAATCAAGTGGGCCAAATAGCTAACTCGGTGAATCAATTGCTTCAAAAGGACAAGGGCAAGCTTCCCTCTCAACCTTTTGAAAATCCTAGAGGAATGCATGTGATTGACGAAACCCCTCCTCCGAGTGGGCCGACTCATGAACAAGTTCAAGCTATCACCACCCTTCGGAGTGGTAGAGTGGTGGACAACAAGGTCGATGGAGACAAAAGTGAAGAAGTTTCGCCGTTGAAAAATCCAAATTCAAGCTCTTCTAATCCAAATTCTTGTCCCAATACCATTCACGGATATCCCACACATGTCTCCCCAAATGTGGAAACTACTTATGAGCCAAAAGCTCCGTTTCCTCAACGTCTTCAAGAGTCGACACACTTTGGGAACAAGAATTGTAAAATTCAAGACATGTGGGAAGTCTTCAAGCAAGTGAAGATTAACTTGCCCCTGTTGGATGCTATCAAGCAAATCCCCCCCTATGCAAAATTTCTCAAAGATTTGTGCACTCAAAAGCGCACTTCTAAAAATCATTTGCCAAAAAAAGTGAGGTTGACTGAAAATGTTAGTGCTATTATTCAGCACAGCACTCCCCCGAAGTATAAGGATCCGGGTGCCCCCACAATCTCTTGCGTCATTGGTGACAGCAAAATCGAGAGGGCCCTCCTTGACTTAGGAGCTAGTGTGAATTTAATTCCATACTCGGTCTACCTACAACTTGGTTTGGGCGATCTTAAGCCGACTTCCGTGGTTTTGCAACTTGCCGATAGATCGATCAAGCATCCACGAGGTATTCTTGAGGACGTCATCATCAAAGTGGACAAATTCTACTTCCCGGTAGATTTTGTGGTTCTTGATACGGAACCAGTCCATGACCCAAAAAAGCACATTCCCGTGATCCTTGGTAGACCATTTTTAGCTACGGCTAATGCATCAATTAATTGCCGAACCGGGGTGATGGACATTGCTTTTGGAAACATGCAAGTCAAACTCCACATCTTTCATGCAACTCAACATCCCTCCAATGAGGATGATTGTTTTCTTGTGGATGTCATTGATGAAGTGGTCGAAGAATCTCTCCCCTTCATCCTAAGCAAAGATCCCCTTGAAACTTGCATGTCTCATTTTGACTTCTCAAACTTTGATGTTGATCAAGCCATTCAAGAAGTCAATTCCTTGCTTGATATTAATGCTATCATGGATGTACCTCCTTGGAAAATTCCAAAAGAACCACTTCCCCAACTTTCCACCACTCCTCCGGTCCCATTATTGTTATCTCCGCCACAACTTGAGCTTAAGCCGCTCCCGGCCCATCTCAAGTATGTGTTCCTTGGTCCAAAGCAAACCCTTCCGGTCATTATTGCCTCGGACCTTCAAAAAGACCAAGAGACCAACCTTTTAGCGGTGCTCCAAGAGCATAAAGAAGCTATTGGTTGGACAGTGGCAGATTTGAAAGGAATTGACCCCTCCATTTGTATGCACCGCATTCATATGGAGGATGACGCAAAGCCTACTAGAGAGGTCCAGCACCGGTTAAATCCAAACATGAAGGAAGTGGTCATGAAAGAGGTGATCAAATTGCTAGATGCGGGAATCATCTATCCTATCTCTGATAGCAAGTGGGTGAGCCCCACACAAGTTGTCCCCAAGAAATCCGGGCTCACCGTTGTTGAAAATTCAGCGGGCGAGCTCGTGCCACAACGAACCACCACCGGGTGGCGTGTGTGCATTGACTATCGTAAACTCAACTCATCAACTAGGAAGGATCATTTCCCACTCCCATTTATTGATCAAATCCTAGAAAGGTTAGCCGGCCAAAGCTTCTATTGTTTTCTTGATGGTTATTCCGGCTATAACCAAGTGGCCATCGCCCCCCAAGATCAAGAGAAAACAACATTCACATGTCCCTTTGGTACTTTTGCCTATCGACGCATGCCTTTTGGTCTATGCAATGCACCGGCAACGTTCCAAAGGTGCATGATGTCCATATTCTCCGATATGGTTGAAAGGTTCTTGGAAGTTTTCATGGATGACTTTTCCGTATTTGGCTCCTCCTTTGACTCGTGCCTCATAAATTTATCTCTTGTGCTCCAAAGATGCAAAGAGACGAATCTCATTCTAAGTTGGGAGAAGAGCCACTTTATGGTCCAAGAAGGCATTGTTTTAGGACATGTCATTTCTAAGCGGGGAATCGAGGTAGACAAGGCAAAAGTTGAGTTAATCTCTAATCTTCCTCCTCCGAATTCCGTCCGTCAAATCCGTTCTTTTCTTGGCCATGCCGGATTCTATCGTCGCTTCATCAAAGATTTTAGCAAAATCTCACGGCCCTTGTGTAATCTCTTAGCCAAGGATGTTCCGTTCAATTTTGATGACGCTTGCATGGAAGCTTTCATCAAACTTCGCATTCTCCTCTCCTCTGCCCCGATCATGAAACCCCCTAATTGGTCTCTTCCCTTTGAGATCATGTGTGATGCATCCGACTATGCATTAGGGGCGGTTTTGGGCCAACGTGTGGATAAACTTCCGCATGTCATTTATTATGCTAGCAAAACTCTCTGCGATGCCCAATTGAACTACACCACCACTGAAAAAGAATTGCTAGCTGTGGTGTACGCCTTGGATAAATTTCGCTCCTATCTTCTTGGCTCCAAGGTCATCGTCTTTTCAGATCATGCCGCTCTTAGGCATTTGTTAGCGAAAAAAGAGACAAAACCCCGCTTAATTCGATGGATCCTCTTACTTCAAGAGTTTGACATTGACATCCGGGACAAAAAAGGGACCGACAATGTTGTCGCCGATCATCTCTCTCGCTTACTTATTGAGAAATCTTCAGAATTTGCAGCCATCCGCGATTCTTTTCCGGATGAGCAACTTCTTCAAGTTTCACATTCTACTCTTCCGTGGTTTGCAGATATTGTCAATTATCTTGCGGTTGGCAAAATTCCAGCTCATTGGTCCAAACAAGAGAGGGACCGGTTTTTCTCCCAAGTCAAGCATTTCTTTTGGGAAGATCCGGAATTATTCAAGTATTGCCCGGACCAAATCATCCGGCGATGTATTCCTGAAACCGAGGCCACAAGCATTTTAAATTTTTGCCATACTCTTGCTTGTGAAGGCCATTTCAGTGCCAAAAAGACCGCTAACAAAATCCTTCAAAGCGGATTCTTTTGGCCTACCTTGTTCCGGGATGCATACAATTTTTGCAAATCGTGTGAACGATGTCAAAAACTTGGATCCATGTCCCGAAGAGACATGATGCCCCTCACCAACATTTTAATTGTTGAAATTTTTGATGTGTGGGGGATTGACTTCATGGGACCATTT